ATTCATCATAATGTGCTTTAAATAATGTCATTTTTCATCACACAACTTTTTTCGACCAAATTTTCTCTAACATCAAACTTTAAACAAGTTGCAAAATAAAAAATTCACAGTTTCTTTTACAATGTTTTTTGAGACAAATATAAAAGCATATACCACTCAGATGTACAACATAAGCACACTTTTTAAAATGTATGTATTCTCAATGAAACTGCAAAGTATTTTACATCAAGGGTTATTAACAGATATATCCAAGAAAAAATAAGATTACTGGGGGATCACCTTGGTTAAATTAATGATAATCAAGTTATGATATACATGTAATGCAGTAAACTAAAGTATGCATTTTTTTTTAAATAAGAGGTTAGATTCATTAAATGACATTGGCCAAGGATTGGGAGAGGTCATTGAAACCTCAACAGGATATACATTTACAATAAAGTGCCAGTGGCCCATGTATATTTACTGTACAAAATTAGTGACTAGAGTGACAAACACATGTATTAAATGCAAAAATATATGTAGTACACAACTACATTGATACAAAGATCCCATAAAAATGAACAGTTGCTATTTTCCACCAATGTACGTGCCAAAGATCCCAATTATGGAAGATACAAAACTTCTGACATGTTGCTAGAATCACATCCTCACAGATATCCCATGAAATTTGCAATAGAGGGTTGACAGATATTTGGCATCACCAACGGATTCACTTTTAGTACGAAGGCTCAGCAAGTTCGATGTTGATCATTCAAACAGACACTTCAAACTTCCCTTGCACAATTTCTGAAAGATTTAAGATTTAAGATGTATCATTATTGATATCAGTATAGATATATGACAAATAATAAACTAAAGCTCTACAAACAATTGTTCTTTTCTACCTGGCAGATCAGTTTACTGTAGAATATGAATTCACTGTCTTGCAATTTTTTGTTCAAATTAGGATTAATTCTGATATTAAAATGTAAAAATGTGAAAAGTTTATAGACAACAGACAAACACAAGACTGTGACACTGATCAAAAAACTCACTTAGGCCTTAAAATGGCTCAGGTGAGCTTAAATGAAAAGGCTAGAGCTGAAGCTCAATGACTGACTAACATTGAAAAAAATTAATTTCAATTCATGTGATTTTATTGATTAAGAAAATAATGAAGAAATCTTACCATTTTTTTTATACAGTTCTTGTCCTAACTCTTGTGAGCATCCGGATTCCTGTAAAATGCATGTATACTTCATAGAAGATGATATCTTTGATTAAATTTGATCCAAAATAATTATACATACCCATGCTGTTAGCATGTTTAGATTACCTTTCAGAATTCATTGTTAAAAATAATAAGAATATGGAAATTAGGCATGTTAAGAATATAAATCTTTAAATGTTGTTTACTTGGCATAGTTGCAATATTTATTTTAATCTTATGCTAAAAGACATAGATTAATAAAATCAAAGTTAGTTTATTTGTTTTGAATGATAATTTGAGCTGGTTCTCACCATATTCACAAGCCTAGTGACTGATTGGTTAAGCATCTACATGTATATGCACTTTTATCAAAGGCCAGGGCTGTGAAAATCATCTCAGGCAATGCAGCAACTATTAAAACAATCGAAACATGCAAGATAAGAGCTGAAAATGGTCATGAACATGCATTACAAAATATATAATTAATTACATGTACATCATACTCTGTAAATGTTATCTTGAACAAAGGAAGGTACAGGTAAAATTCTTTACATCAGTTCGATTCCAAGCAAGGAAATTCGGGTTAAAATCAATGACCTTAATGATATGTATAGATTTGTTAAATAATGATTACAGAAATAGTGCTTGTCCTAACGATTTCACCGTCGGGCATTTTATGTATGGTGCCCGGATTAATCAAAAGTAGCAGAAACATTCTTCGTTCGAGGACACATAAAATACTGTACAATATTGTACCTACCGGTCTTAAAAATGTCGTCATCTTCTTCCATCCCAAGCTGACCATGATCCCCCTGTTCGTGACACTCATTCCAACTTTCCTACTGTGGAACATCAACATGGTATTCGATATTTTTGAATTTCGGTGTTGTTAAAATTAATTGTTCATCGAGCCCGACTTCGATCCCGATGTTATTGTAATATTAGTCCAATTTAATTGATGACGTAATAAGTTCGAATTCTTCATTTATAAAACTTGTTTTGATATAAAAAAAATTGTATTTTCAGTGAAAAATTATTCAGATAGTGTTTGTTATTTTTTTAAACAGAAATCTTGGAAATTCGAAACTAACGTATTTCTTAGCTCTACCGTACATTTTTGAAAAGGCGCAAACTTGAAAACGCGCGAGACGTTGGAAGTGGGAATTTGGAGAGTGGAAGGATCGGTATTTGTGATCTATAATATTTGCATAGTCACTGATCTTTGTCAACTTTTAAAGAAAATAACAGAATATGAAGAAGGAAGACTATATATAGGATTGATCTACTTCATAACTGGTGAGTGACAAAAAATGGAGGCAATCACTGAGTCAGAAATCTTTCTGGAAATGTTACTGTCTATTTGTAAAATTAATAAATATGTCTTTTTTTTAAATGAAAGTTTTGTCTAACTTTGCTTTGAGTTTGGATCCAACCATATAACATACATTAATTATAGACTGAGACTCGAAACATTCATAGGCCTGATAGATCTACAAAATGGCGGTCCAAGAGAATAGGCTTAAATTCCATTCAGAATGTTTTAATTTGGAAGTGCCTCTGATGCAAAATTAAAATGCAAGAAAATACACAAAAAAGTCTTATGTTTTACAATCATGGGTAATTTCAGAAAATCTTTCTTTTTGAAGGAAAAGGAGAAGCAGTTCACAAATGTTGATGAGCAGAAGACAAGAAACTCTGGCTGCAAAAAAAAAAATCTGAGCTCTTGAAAAAGAAAGAAAAAAAGAATTGAAAATATGAATGATATTCAATCAAAGGATCCAAATGATGAAATTCTGGAAATTCCACATGGAGAGACAATAAGGATTTTTGAATTGACCATCTCTGCTATAAGAACTGCTTGAAAGCTGTTACCCTGGTGCTGAACAAACTTTTCTCCTAGACTGGAATTAAAAATTGTTCAATTTCTGGCATTAAAACACAATTTGAAATATGCTGAGGAAGGACCCCCCTCTCCTTTTGACCAAGTAAGGTTAAACATTCTGCAAGGAGTTGCATTTGAATTGAAATTTTTTATACTTTTACCAGGAATGAACTACATTACTCATTTACTATGGTTTAATGTGTCAGAATTGTCTATTTTAAGTTTTTTGACAAAGATTTTGTTGCCATGGTTGGAAAACAAACAACATTTCTGTGAAATCTTTCAAGATGCTGTATTATAAATCATCTACTGTTACTTTTTTAGCATGACTTCATGCATTTTCATGAATAAACTTGAATAATAATATTGGATTTTTTGTTTACAAATAAGCAAGAATATTCATGAATGCTAATGGTTCATGAATTTTATTCATTCATGAACATTCCTGAAAAAATTCATCAAATTATTCATGAATAGTTCATGAAGATGCAATGAACTTATTATTGGACATTCTTGAAATGATGAATCTTCATGAATATGACTGTTCATGAATTATTCATGAAAAAAAAATATTCATGAATATTCATCAATTTTCTTTCATGAATAAAAATTCATGATTTGAAAATGTCCAATAATAAGTTCATAGGATCTTCATGAACATTTCATGAAGATTTCATGAATAAAATTCATGAAAAATTCAAGGAAATTCATGAATTATTCATGATCGTCTCGCAGGGGTCCTGCCTCGGGGTAAAAATATCAGTAGCTATAGGTAGGTGGGAAACTGTTTGTCCCAGAAAAATTCAGCATACATATTGACAAAATGAGTAAATCCAGGAATAAAAAGAAAAAAATAAATTCAGATGTGTTGGTGAAATACTATGCCTTCGATGGTAACCTGTACCATTGGAAAGGTCTTGTCATAATGAACACTCATGTCATATATTAAACCCCTATCCTTGATTGATAGCGCAATAGTTATGGGCTACATGTAGGTCAAAGTTGACAACAGACAAACAGAAAGACAGGATAAAAACAATATACCCCTGTGATCTCTCGAACCGGGGACATAATGATCGTTTCTGGAGGATAAAAAAGTTTTGTCATGCCATTCTTAGCGATAGCCTTTTAAAACCTGGCTCAGAATAGTTTACATTAAAAATTTAAAAAGTGTCTTGCTGGACTCGCCATTTCTGGTTATTTCCATCAAGATAAAACTCCGCCTCGGTCAATACTGATAGCATTCAACACCAGAGAAATCCATAATTGTATAATATTAAAAATATATGTTAAATCAGTTTTGCGATGTTTTGCGATGGACACAATACTTGTACACACAAAAAATATATATTTGTGTTTACTTATTGCATTTTGTTTTATTATATTTTGCGTCATACAAAAATTAGGGTTTATAATGGCGTAAAGTTCATTTCTCATCTGTTGGTGAATTTTCCAAAGAAAAAAAATTATCAATTAGATAAAAGATTAACGACAACATAAAACATATTTAAAAGAAATTGTGAAAAGACCAAGAACCTCTTTTACCTTCACAAATTCTGAGAGAGAGCAAACTGAAGACATGTTTAAAACTAGATCGCATTTTATTCATAGAAAAGTTTTCAAATGATTAAAAGAGTATTACAGAGTGTATTTTTCTTTAATGCATTTAAATACGAAATAATAATAATAATAAGTAGTTTGTTAGATTTGACATAAAACATCGTGAGAATCACAAACACTAAGATAAAAAATTATACAATTGTATCCTTATATCAATAACGTTCTTTTTTTTCAAAATATTGTCTGGAAAGAGATAAACTGTCAAAAGATTTGGTAATATTGTTAAACATGAAAAGCATGATAAACACAGAAACTGAAAAAAAACCATATTATAAATAATATACTATAATATACTATAATATAATACAAAGAAAATAATTTTTCTCACTACATTTTATGAATGGTTAGCTAAGTCTGTATGCTTTAAACATAATAACATGTGCTTTACGAAACAGCTATTTTCTATAACTAAACAACACTGTACTCGCTAAGCGTTTTCTACACAAGAGGATAGCTGGCTTGTGAAGCTATTCCACACTGGTTGTTTTTGTTTCTAGACATTCTGCAAAATCCTTCCTCACCCCAAGCTGGACCATAACTAAATGAAAATCAAGTTAAATTTTATGAATAAACTAGAAAATAACCAGGCATTAATTTTTATCTCACTAGAATGTAATTGAAAAAGAAATGTATATGTTGTAAAACGTTAAACGTTTGTTTTTAAAAAGAGATATGAAAGAGAAATTGTTATATTTATAAATTCAGACGGACGTCTTCATCCTTTTGCTTATACATTGTACCAATATATCGACTCTGTATATTGCATGGTATTACTGGGAACTGTGCATGACATTTTATAATATTAATCTTCAACATGTATTTGCTGAAAGAAAATATTCTTTGTTACTGTATAGCAGGTTAAAATCGCGGTCGGAAAAGATCGCGATTTGTTCAATTTTCAGCAAATCGCGGTCGTTTGAATTCGCGGAAAGGAAAAAAACCCATACATTTTTTAAACAGTACTTGCAAAGCATTTTTCTTTAGTTATATATTGTGTGAACTGTCATTTCCAGTCTCTATTATATCGCGCATATCAGACAGGAAAGGCAAGTCTAAATATTGTGTCAATTGTGAGCCCGATTGAATAATTACGAAACACTGGACTGATCCCGATTTGAAGTCAAAATAATGTTATGCATCCAGAATTTCTCTTTATTTCTGAGTCCAAAATAAATTAAAAAAAATTATACAGTACTGAGTAGTCCAAATGTTGAACTTTTAATCATATAATTGAAATTAATTAATTGTCTTGACCCTGTTTACTACGCTTGTGCCTTGATTAAAGGTAATGACTGAGTGATACGTACGGGTGAAATTATACAAGCAAATTAAAGATGGCAAAATTACCGTAATCGTTAGCAATAGAAATTAATTTAACAATTCATAAGCTTTAAAAACACCAACAACTACGTGTTTGTAATTGATCCATACGCTCGCATAAGTATAAAGACAGTTTACATCTAATCACCGATGATAATAAAATTTCAGTTCATCCTTATAAATCATTTGATATATAAATAACTTGAACGAATTAATTATGCTAATTAATTACGACAATCAGTAAATCGTACATTGTTTCATTTATTATAACAAGTCCTTAAATATTTCAAAATTTATAATTGATCATAATTCATATGTTTAAATATCCCTACTATATGATTTTTCTTTCATTATTTTTTATTAAGTAAAGTTACGCCATTTTGAGAGAATGAAACAATGTACGATTTACTGATTGTCGTAATTAATTAGCATAATTAATTCGTTCAATTATGTAAATCGCACTTCACCCGAGTATACCCGATAGACCGGACGCATTTCATAGCGGTCCGGATTTCTTTCTTTATTAGTGTTATTAAAAATGTCCAATTCAACATGTAATTAAGTATGTAAATACATGTATCTAGTGTTTAGTAGTTTAGTAGTAGTGCTAGTTGTTTTTGTTTCTCTTTTTCCTTTGTTCTTATGACTTTTTAACTTTTTTCTTTGTCCTGAGGAAGGGACAGGGCGTCCCAAAAATTTGACAATTTTTATTGTTCGTGTCGTTGGTCATTTTTAGTGCTTTATATAAATTTCCATCCGTGACCTTGTATCTACTTGGTAGATCCGACACTTAGGATATACAGTGTTGTTAGTTTTTTAGTGCTTTATATATATATATATATATATATATATATATATATATATATATATATATATATATATATATATATATATATATATATATATATATCTAAAGCACTAAAAAAAACAACAACACTGTACATGTATCTATGTATAAATGTTACACCTAATATAGGGCCAATCTCCAAACGCTTTCAGGAACGCTGGGACGTTATTACAAGGAGATGTTCTAAACAATTGATGTCACTCTGTCTTTCTTGGGATATCCACAATTTAGACAATTGAAGAGTGAGATCAAGTCCTTAGAATCATCCCTCAACGATATCATGTCCCATGCCGATCTTGATGAAGCCCATAATATTATAGACACCTATACGAGGGGGGATCAAAAAGTTCGCAAACTAATTGAATAACTTTTAAAATATTTTTCAAAGTGAGCTTCTGAGTTTATTCTTTTTCAAAGTAGGCCCTCTAGCTTTTATGCACTTTTCCCATCGGTCTGCCCATGCGCGAAACACGTGATCCAAGCCATCACGTGACATGACCCTTAGCACCTTGTTCACAGCAGTACCAAGATCTTCCCGGGACTCATATTTTTCTCCCCGTAGGTTATCTTTCAAAACTGGAAATAGCCAGAAGTCACAAATTGCCAAATCTGGGCTGTAGGGGGGATGAATTAGGTTTTCTATACCCAGTGTTTCCATGGTGTCCATCACAACCCGACTTTTATGGCTAGGTGCGTTATCATGGTGCAGAATGAATCCAGATCTTATCAGATCTGGGCGCTTTCTCTTTACTGCTCTCATCAAATCTGATTTGATAACCCGTGCATAGTAGTCCCCAGTAACTGAAGTTTTGGGTGGTACCATGTGATTTAGAATATACCGTTGATGTCACAGAAAAGTATGAGCATAACCTTTCCTGCTGACTTGGTTACGCATGCTTTTATTGGTGATGGCGAGGAAGGATGCTTCCAGATTGAACTTTGTTGTTTACTTTCTGGCTCATAGAAATGTACCCAAGTTTCATCACATGTGATGATTCTATTCATGAAATAATTTTGTTTTTTTCGTATCTACTAACGTAGGACCTGCACGCATTCACTCTCACCCTCATTTGCTCTGGCAGAAGGAGGCAAGGGACCCATCTCGCACAAACTCGCTGCATGTTAAGCTTACTCGTTAAAATCTCTTGAACTGTTCCATAAGACATGCTAAGATCATTAGCTATTTCCCTAATCGTAACTCTTCGATCTTTCATTACATATAGTTCAACCTCAGACACGTTTATCTCGTTACTTACGTTCAGCGGGCACCCAGATCTATCATCATCTTTCACCGTCTCCCTTCCCTCAATAAAATGTTTCATCCACTTACTTATTGTACCTTTTGAAAGCCCACATTCCCCATAAACTTTATGTAAATCATCGTATATTTCCGTGAAGGATTTACCTAGTTTTACATAAAATTTCATTATAGTTCTTTGTTCAAGCACGATTGACTCATCCATTTTCGTCACAGTCGCCTCTATATTGACGTCATTTTAACATCATGACGTCATTATTATGACGCACATTTCAACATGACTCATACTGCATAAAGCACATGTTTAGGGCTATATTTGGGACACATTTCATTCTTGTCAGAACTGAAGCTAGGTAGATAGAGAATTAGTTTGCGAACTTGATCACCCCTCATAATATGGCCCTAACAAATAAAGTCAACAACACTAAAAAAAAAGAAATTTCTCCGCAACAGTGTTCCACTGTCTAGGAACAACTGGTCAGAGGTCAGAGTTAATAAACCACGTAAACCCTAAGCGCATTAAAACAATCGCGAGGGATGGACCCATACAAACTCTTGACGTCTGCCCAGTGCTCCATACATCTAGTGCTCCTCTCTCCGAATCGGAGACCTCACTTCTATCCAAGGGGCTGAATTTCTGCCCCACGCCACATGAGGTCGACCAAAAACAAGTCAAAGAGGACACCCGAGCATTCTTCCGGAGACTTCTTTTGAAGGAGCACTTCTCTAGAAAAGACTCCGAGGTAAACTCATACGACTCTTCCAAGCCAGATTTACACGATCTAGAGGAACACAAACTCTATAGGCCCAAGAGTGTCTTGGAACCTGCACCGGGCAAGTGCGGCGCGCTTGAGTCGTATATTGACGCCGTTGAGTCAGACATAGAGAAGCTCTTTTCAATGCCAGACAAGACTCCCAACAATTTGAGTAAGGAAGAGAGATCTGCCTTACAAACATTAAAATATCGGGATGACATTGTAATCATTTAATTTCTATGAAATACTTGATTCTGATTGGATAAAAAATTCTTTTGATACCTGCATCAATAAAATCTAGAGTTCGCTTGCACTAAGGAGCCGGAACTACTTTGGCTGTCTCTACATGTCTGTTCCCCTCTTCCAGATTACTTTTTGAAGGAATAACTAAATAGTTATACTTCAATAAATGTTTTCCTGAATTTCGAAACCTGTCCGTTACGGTCCTGACTTATTTCCTACTTTCGTTTCTTTTTTGAATTATCCCCCTTTGCTAAACAAACCAAATCGTCTGCATGACAACAATATAGTTATGGGAAAGAATGAAAGAAATCGGCATACTTAATATGTAAGGCCTATCAGTTATCTCTTTGAGATAACTGGTATGAACAATAGAACTGTGAAGAAATGTTTTTATGCTACCAAAGAGAGGAAAACCGCTAATCTGTCAAATCTTGGGATACGAATGATCGAGAAAAACGACACCGCATGAATTAGGTCATATTCTTTTAATCTTAAACAGTTGGCAGCAGACTCTTTCAGGTTTTACAGCATTGAAAGGTTGTGATACGTATTTATATGTTCGGTTTGAAATTCAGATGAAAAGATATGCAAATGAAATCCAAAATTTCTGTGACCTTACATTAGAACTGTTAGGCCTAGCATGGTTAGAATATTTGTTTTGAGTAGCTTCCCTTTATATTTACAAACTTATATAACTTACCGGGAAAAATATACCGATTTGGATAACATAACAGGCAATTTTTTTGTGTTAAAGAACTGTAAATTATATCAGAGAATGTTGGTAATGCCACGACAAGATTTGGGAACGTTTGTTCGTTTGAGCCATTTTGAATTTCAGTTGTGATGTATTCGTGCGCACTGTTTTTGATGCGTAAATTTAATAGAAAGGTGAAAGAAAGTTTCATTTTATTAATTTAAAATCATAATTAAATGATAAGAAATGAATGTAATATTTTTTCCTTTGATCGATGTATCAAAGAAAAATTTGTAGACTTTGGCCAAGTGATGGAGACGAAAGGACGCTTTCGTTTGGGCTCCGTTAATTCTTGGCAAATTTTGCACCTTTAGGTGATTTTGAGGCAAAATTTTGCATTAAACAGTGTATATATGTTTAT